GTTATCTCAAATAACCCTACCCTATGAGGCCAGTCTCTAAGACCTCCCATCATAGTCTTACTCCAGGGTCCCTAGAACCAACCGCCCAAGTCTCAGGGGCAGCCTAGACACTAAGGGCCCCGCTGGTGATGCCCGAGGTGTGGGTGGTAGTTGCCGGAGAGGATGGGAAGGGAGGGGTTAAGAAGATGGGCTGAAGGAGAGGGAGTAAAGCTGTCCGCGCGGGCCTCCCGCTCCGGACCACCTCGTAACGAGCCTCCCACCTCGCTCCTGCCGCAGGCGGTGCCTCTCGGCCATGGACTGAAGCATCCACTTGGTTCGGAGCTTGTACAAATAATTGCCGTAAACCACAACCTCGGTGAAGTCCGAGGATTCCAGAACCTTCAACTCGAGCATGGCTTTGCTCACTTGCTCGATGTACGGGATTCGAGATCCGTCTGGGCCTGTTTGGGGAAGAAGATGAGCGCTCCGGCCCCCGGAGGAGGCCGAGGCGCCCAGGTGGAGGCGCCCAGGTGGAGGCACCCGGCTCAAGTCTGGGCTCACTCACCAAACATGGCTTCCAGCAGCCGCGTCTGGACCAGAAACACCTCGGGATCTTTCAGATCTTCGGGAACTCTGACCCACGGTGGGATATCTTTCCGTTTCAGCAGCGTCCCCATCTTGCGTGCCTCGAAACCAAACCACGCTCCTACTTAGGCAAGGCCTAACAGAATCGCCCAGCGCCGACGCGCGCCTGAAAATTGAACACCTGGGCGGGCCCCGCCCACAAGCAGGGCCCGTCCCCCGAAAGCTCCGCCCCTGACCTGGAGGCTCAATCCGGCGCTCACCACCCAGCCGTCTGCGCTTTGGTCTCGCTGGTGACCTCTGTGGCTTTACCCTCTCCCGAGCACTGGTGGGCCCAGCTGTCTCTGAGCTTACGAGGGTTTCCATCTGCATTGACTCGTATCTTCAGTACCAGAATCCCTGGGCCTTGGGAGTGCATGGGGCGAAGCGTTATGGTCTCTTCCCCTAGGAACGAGTGGTTGGGCCTGAACCCCAGAAAGCTGGAGTCCAGCTGTGAGGGTGCGAAGACCACCCGGGAGCTGCCAAATAGAGTTCCTGCCTCCTGTATTCCAAACGAGCGTCTATTTCCTCTTGGCCTAAAAGGGCCAGACTCTGGAACTTTACATAGCAGGTGAGCCCTGCAACTTCTGGGGACTCAAGTAATTCCTGCCATTTAACAAAGAGGAAAATGAGATTCGAAAAAATCGTTATCTTCAAGGGACGTGAAGGGGGCTCTAAACTGCGCCCACAGTTTGAGTTCCTTGAAGCCCCCCAGTCTGGAACTTTTGCGTCTACCCGGATTTCGAAAACTTAACGGTGCCCCTCCTGGATACCGGCAGAAACCGTGTGGTCCAGGCTCCTGGCCCTAAATGAACTTGTTTCATTAGTTTAAAAAACATCTTGCTTGAAGCAGTTGCACTAGATTCACCTTATGAGGGTATGGTTTCAATGTTTATGGCTTAATTGATGAAGAAAAAGCTGGCATTTCCCATCTGCTAAAATCTGGTTACTAAGAAACTGAATATTCGAAAAGGTCTGGAAATCCTAGCCCACAAATTAGGAACTTAATACAGTATTTAAAGAAGCAAATGGAAAGTTGTAGGAACTGTGTCCAACTAAACGAGATTAGAGACAATCTCGTAAAAATACAGAAACTTATAGGATAAACAACCAGAACTTACATTGCTGACTCAAAAATTATGGCTATCAAAATTTTTTCAATAGTAATGATTAAGGTCCCTTCTAAAGAGCTCATGCACAATGACATCAGCACAGGTGTATCACATCAGCAGTTTATAAGAGTCTGTTTCCCCCACTCCAATGATTTTCAATTGTTTGCCTTGCCTCTGGGATAAGTGACTATGGATGCCTCATTGCTTTTTCATTTACACATTTTGAACCTAGAATCTCAGATTCACCAATTGCTGGTTTAGGGGACTAGTTGGAGAGTGGTGTGATTTACTAAGGGGAGTTAGATCCAATTTCCTGAAAAAGGTGCAACCACCGACTCCTTCGCGATTGGGGATACCTGTCTTAATTTTATCTCCCAGGAAAAAACTGTTTATGTGTCCCAAGGCAAACCTTTCGCTTCTCAGCATGGCCCTGAGCAACCACTGTGAGTAAATATGAAATGAAGCCACCAGAAATTTTCAATCGCAAATATTATCTGCCTGCAGCTTCTCATTTGAAGCAGATAGGAACTCCATCCAGAGGCCCTGGCACAATCACAGCCACCCATACCTCCCTTCCTCCAACTTGAGTACTTAGGCTGGTGGGCAGCAGGTGGTGAAAGTGAAAGGGCTGGCCAGGAGCTTCTGGATGTCCTCCACCCCTCCAGCACATGGCTCGGGGCAAAGCAGGTAAGTGCCAGGTGCACCCAACCAGAGGTGTCAGGAGCACCCAGGGCTCGCCCCCTAGCTTTCTGGACACTCACAGCACTACGTCCTAGTCAGCTACATCTGGAAAGGGAACGGGCTTCCTTCCAGCCACTGACCCCAAGGTGCGGCAGTGTGGACCGTAGACACACAGCTGCCTTTATCTGGACCACCATCCAAAAAAGGCCTCAGGGCCCATCTGTCTTCTTTAATATACCCCTCACGCAGGGCCTGAACTGAGAGAAGGCTGCAGAATATTGATTGGGAAGGCTGCAGCAAGAAAGGCAGTCCCGATAATACTCATTCCAACCCTTGCCTTTCTCAGAAAAAGGCTGCTGTCGAAGGATGGCATCTCTGCAGCCAGGGATCCTCCTCCAGGCCCTGGGCGCGGGATTTTATGGGAGTTTCGAGGAAACGGTTCCCCATGCCCAAAGCAGTCACCGCAGCCCAGATACCAATGGCCAGTCCATATATTCCTCCTCCCTCCGCTCCCTGTGCAAGGTTCTAGCCCACCATCTTGGGTCTTTCTATGGGTTGCCCTGGCGGTTGTACAACCCGCATGAGCTTCGCGCTTGCGGCTAGAAACACACCCACGAGGTCTAGTCTATCCAGAGCCAACTGTCTGTCAATCTGCTCAGCCCTTTTGGCTTCAGTAAGAAGTCTCCCGGATCCAGGTGCATACCCAGCGCGCGCATGGCTCGCTAATGTGCTGGCACCGGGTTGCGTTTAAGGAGAACCCAGTGCTGGGAATACGCAGGCACTTAACCACCCAGGCAGGAATCCGCGCCGCTCGGATGCGGAAAGGGCACCCTACTGAACGCAGGTTCCCGCGACCCCTACCAGGCTTCTGCGTCTGGACAAGCTTCCTGGTTCTAGCTCCTTAGCTCCTGAGGACATCGTCCGGCCATTGCCTGAGCCGAGATTCCCTGGCAGACAAGAGCGGCGGAATTGCGGAGCAGTGAGCGCCGCCAGCTCTCACTTCGAAAGCGGCTGTCGAAACGCCTGCAGGACATGATCCGCAGCAGCCACTTGACTCTCCTCCTGTGCCACGAGCGCCGACAATGGTGATCTCCGTGTAGCCTAGAGAGTTTGCCACTTTCAAGTTCAGAACTACTTCGTGCACCCCCGGAAGAGCCCCAGGAGAGCAGTGTCCAGGCCTGGGGAGAGCTGGGCCATGAGCTAGGCGGAGCCCTCAGCCCCGCACATCTCCCAAAAGGCCGGCTAGTCAGGGTCCCACCGTTTGGAATAGACCCCGCAGAGCTTGACTCTAAAGCACTGCTTGAGACTTCTGGAAGGACTGCGACAAGGGGCGCAGACGCGAGGTCCACCGCGGAGCAGAGGCCCCGGGCCGACTGCCTCCCGGAAGACTGACTCCGGCAGCGACAGCTCCACCCGCGGACTCTTCAAGTGTGAGGGCCCCAGCCACCCCACCCGCGCTTCCGGAGTTTTCTCGGCGGTGGGAGCACGGGAGCACCGTCCACTTCCATTCCAATTCTGCTTCAATTTCAGCTCGGTCTGCCTCGGCTTCGGCCATGCCGAAAGGCATGAGCAATTTTGGTGGAACTTCGGGGAAACATCGGACCTGCGAGCGATCAGGGTTCGGTAGTTCACAGCGAAACCCACCCCTTCCAGGGCCTAGTCTATCCAGATAGCCCAACTTCAGGGCTTGTTGAGGACCCATAGCAATGACAGTCACTGACTGACCCTCTGTTGCAGGCTCTGCTTTTCCAGACCTTCCATAACTATCGGAGACATCTTATGTCTTACACGCTGTAACCCATGGGAGAAGGGGCTCAATGCATCAGCATCTTGAAACTTGGGGGAACAAGGGAAAGATGACCTGGCTAGAACAAGAGAGTTAGACTTTTTCAATAGAACAGATTGTATCCTTCCAATTTGCATCTTATTTATCAAAGATTTTTAAATTGCTTCTATTATGGCTCTACGATATTCAATCCAAGTCTACTATCAGATTTTGTTGACTACCTTTTATACACTCACTGCCTTGAATAAATGACAAGACCATTTGGTTTATTAGCCATATTTGGGAGTATCTCCTTTATATAAGATAAACGCCCACAGAAAGAATTATAGATGAAAGGACAGGAGAATTTTTCATACTCAAGCCATTCATTAACCTATTGCTTTTCAAAAATGTCCCTTGAACATTTGGGGTGAAAAAATCACTTGGTTGGATGCTGGAATTGGGAATAATTTCTGTCTTAGATTTCAGTTGTTACTTTATTGTAAAACAGTATTTTTAAAAACAATTTGTTTTTAATTTATACCCCCAATCGACTAGAATCTGTTGTTCTCTGGACTTTTATGTAACACACCCTGAAGTATTAGAGAGAAGAGTGCCTCAAGCTTGAATGTATAAAAGTCACTTGGGGATCTTGTTAAATACAGGTTTAGTAGGTCTGGGACAAGCCTAAGATTCTTTATTTTTAACAGTTTCCCAGGCATTGCTGATGCCGCTCGTTAATGGATAAATGTGGAGTAGCAAGGTTATAGATATCTCAACTATCAACCTAAGACCTCATCTAGAATATAAAATTCAGTAGCTAGAAAAGTGTGTTGTAATTAGCAATTTTTCTAATGAGTGCTCTCTCAAGCTCTGTATAAGAACCTGTGCTGCTTTAACATCCTGGGCTTCATACCTTTTCAACATTACCATTGGTCAATCGCCATGCAGGGATGTGAGCCCCAGAACTGACAGATATTCTGATTTTTATATAAAGTTTCTCATTTTTATAATGTTAGGACCTGATTCAAAAGGTAGATAAAAAAAAAATAGTGTGAGTAAAACAAAACATACCTGTGTGCATTACTAGGCCTGTTGAAACCAGTTAGCAACCTCCAAAGAATGTTGTACCTTCCAGGTTCACCTCTATTCTCAGCCTCTAGGAAAAAGTCTGCCTCCAAAGGGGTAGTGAAGCCTCAAACCTAATCTCTCACAGCTTTCTCTACATCTTAGATGCTTCCCTACATTCAGAGATACATAATCCCTTTTGATTCCATCTTGTCTTCTATCATTTCTCTTCAAATTGATAATACAGGCTTAATGCAATTCCTATCAAAATGCCAGTAAGATTTTTTTTTTTTGTACATATAGACCAGATCATTTTAAAATTTATATGAAAAGGCTAAGGAACTAGAATAGCTAAAACAATTTTGAAAAAAAAAAATCAGTCTGCCTAACTTTAATTATTATTATATAGCTATAATAATCAAGGATATGTGGCATTGGCAGATTAAATGTAAAAAGTATAGCTATAAAGCCTTTAGGGGAAAACACAGGAGTAAAATTTTGAGAACTAGGGCTTAGTTAAGAGTCCTTAGACTTATCACCAAAATCTTGCTTCATAAAAGAAAAAACTGATTAATCAGACCACCTAAAGTAAAAACTTTCATTTTGTGAAACACTCTGTTAGGAAGATGAAAAGGCGAACTACAAACTGGGAGACGTATTTGCAAACCACATATCCAATAAAGGACTATTATCAAGAATATATTAAAAAAAACTCTCAAAACTCAATAGTAAAAATCAAACAATACAATTAGAAAATAAGCAACAGACATGAAGAGACATTTCACTGAAGAGGATATACAGATAGCTAATAAGCACACGAAAAGACGTTCATCATCATTTGCCATTAGGGAAATGGATATTAAAAGCACAATGAAATATCATTTTATACCTATCAGGATGACTAACATAAAAAATAGAGAACTCTAAAGCTGGTGAGGCTTGAGAACAACTAGATTACTCATACACTGCTAGTGGTAAGGTAAAATGGTACACCAAATCTGGAGACAATCTTACAGTTCTATGATTAAACATAGAGTTACCATATGACCCAGCAATTCTTCTCTTAGGTATACACTCAGAAAAACTAAAAACATATGTCCACACAAAATCCTGTACATGAATGTTCATAGTAGCTTTACAAGTAATAGTCAAAAGCTGGAAACAACACATATGTCCTTCAAGGAGTGAATGATTAAACAAATATGATACATGTATCCCATGGGTATCACTCAGCAATAAAAAGAAACAAACTATTGATACAAGCAACAACTGGATGAATCTCCAGAGAATTATGAGTGGAAAAAAAAATAGCCAGTGCTAAAAGTTACATACTGTTTAATTCCATTTATATAACATTCTTAAATTAACAAAATTATAGAAATGAAGAACAATAGACTAGTGGTTGCCAGAAATTAAAGAGAGGGTAGAGATTTCCCTCTGTCCACACCATATGGACCATCCGCTGTTGGGTGTGCTCAGCTGTCGCAGATAGGTTAAGGAAGAAGCTGAAAATGTGGTGGCCTCTGGGAAGGGAATTCAGTGGTCAGGGTTCAGGAGGAAGTAGGGGACCTACTTAAGCTCTTAAATGACATTTTTACTCTTTGAGTTTCTGCTTTTCTGATGTTACTTGATTAGGTTTTCCATTAAAAGTTATTCCAGCCCCTCAGGAATGCTAAACTGGTTCCATTAGAACTGTCTGGGAAAAAGCCCGATTCTCCACAAACATCAGTTTTCTTCTCTGCGGATATTGTCCCGAGGTTGAATTTTCTGCCTCTCTGGAGCTCAGTCTCTCAGCGCGCCGAAAGTGCCCCATTGCACCTGCGCGATCTCGGGAAGTTGCCAGGCTTCGGAGTTTGAGAAGCGAGGCCTGGAATCCAATAAGAAAGGCGCGGATGGGGAGGGGCTTGCCAGAAGCCCTTAAAATAAGGCCCAGAACCGACTGCAACTGCCGCAGCCAGGCCCAACTACGGCCTTCCAGGTTGCAACAGTACCGTTGCTCCCTGCGAGACCCGCTGCAACATGGCCAGCCCCAAGAGGTTTCCGACGCTCGTGCAGCTGGAGCAACGGGAAGGAACGCTATTCCAGGTGCTCGGTAACCTCACCAAGCGGCCCTACTGGTTCCACAATGAGTATCTGAAGAATCCGAAGGCAGTTCACCTCGAGGCATGGCTGGTGGAAGCAATCTTCGGTGAGTGGCCCGAGAGCGGAAGCTAATGCGGTCTCTTTCCCCCACTCTTACCCACCCCAATGCCCAAATTGACCGCACGCCAGGACAAGCCTCTCCTGTGGCCCTGGCCTCAATCCGTGCCCCTGTTGCCTCCCGAGTCCTGACCTCACACACCCTCTCTGCCTCCTGCGCAGGCCCGGGAGGAGAGCACATTCCGCACGTCGAGTGTGTTTCGCAGACACTGCTTCATGTTCATCAGTGGGACTCAGAAGACGAGGCTGAAATCTTGATATTTGGTCGGCCTTCTTACCAGAAGGATGTGTCCAAGATGATCATGAACTTGGCTTACTATCACCGCCAACTCCGGGCGCAAAGTACGGGACCTGGAATAGTGAGGAATCCTGGACAGACCTTGGGTTTCTTGGGAGGGATCCTGATGCTTTGCTGGCTGTGCCTCGGCAACAGCTTCATATTCTTAGTCATCCCGGGATTGGTTTTCCTCTTTGCAATGGATCTAGAAGGCCAAATTGACCCCGCGCTCTCAGATTCTGGGCCCCCAACCCCGAAGCCCGTCCAGATGACTGACTGACTCTTTTTGTAGACAGTACGAAGACACAGGTGCTGTCTCCTTACACTGCTCTTCTTCCAGGCTCAGTGAGGGACGCTGCGCAGGAGACCGGGACCCAGAACTCCCCCGACTCAGTCCGGGAGGCGGCGACCCAGAGCTCCCCCGACTCAGCCCGGGAGGCGGCGACCCAGCGGTCCCCCGACGCAGCCCGGGAGGCGGCGACCCAGCGGTCCCCCGACGCACTCCGGGAGGCGGCGACCCAGCGGTCCCCCGACGCACTCCGGGAGGCGGCGACCCAGCGGTCCCCCGACGCACTCCGGGAGGCGGCGACCCAGAGCTCTCCTGACGCTACCGTGGGCCCCGTTCCCAGGTTATGAAGGCATTTCGAGGCCCGGGAGCGAAAGCCAGCCAAGATTCAAGTGGAAACTCCCATCTGGAGCCCTCTTCTAGGCCCTCAGAAGCTGAGGAAGGATCATGTGTGTTGTCCTTGGTTACTCCTTCCTCACCCCACCCCCATGTTAAATGTTTGCAAACACGAATCTAAAAAGTTCTAACCAAGAACCGAATTACCCTAATAAAGAATCGAATTTCCCTAACGTCTGTTTAACTGGCTGGTAGAAGGGGAGGGAGAGTGGGCATCTGCCTCCAGCAGGCAGTACCTGCTCTAGGCTGCTTTCTGTCTAGAGAGGCAGGTGAGACCTATTAGATTTTTAGTCGCTGGAGACCACAGTCTTCCCAGCCACCGGTAGATGCTTCCCTTGTGCTTCTCAACCGCCCGCACCTGACTTTGAGGGCGGAGAGCCAGCCCATCGAGTCTGTTCTCACTGAAAAACCTCCAAACCTAAGGTGTTTCCCTTCAAGGCCACAAGGGATGAGAAAACTTGGTTCCAATCCGAGTATGCAGTTGGATGTATTGTGCTGCTGCAAGCAGCTACTTCCCAGCTCGGGCAACCATGGGCAAAAGGGGTAACTGGAAGAAAAAGCCAGGACTGACCTGCTGCCATCTCATCTTGCCTAGGTCACTCGACATTCAGTGAGGTTTGACCCAAGCCAGAAGTAAGCAGTGCTGGTGACTCTTCCCTTAGTAATGGAAGTAGCAAGTTGAGCTAAGGTGAATCCCTCTTTGTCACTTTTTTTTTAAAAAATGAACTATATTTGACATAACATTGTGTAAATCTAAGGTGTTCAATATGTTAATTTGATACATTTACAAATTGTACTGATTGCCATTGTAGCAATAATTAGCACCTCTATCACATTTAACATTCTGCTCCAGGCAAACTGTTAATAGCTGGGTGCTGTATGAAAAAAACAACAGCATCCATCAATCTTAGTCTTAAGAAAAACCTTCATTTTAAAAATTCAAGGAAACCTAACTTTAAAGACCAGGGGAGTGGTATGTCTATCATAGACCCGTTGGTTACCGCTAGTAGAGGATCACTCCGATTTTAAACATAAGGGAAATAAAGATGAAAAGCTGAATTTACAATAGATTATTAACTATTTTTGGAAGAGGCAGAAAAAGACTAGGTGGAGTGAACTTTAAACATTTAAGACTCAAAATCAATGCAGACTCAGTTTCAACTGAGGCTACAGTGTAGAACTAAGACTCGATGTTGATTTTTTTCCCCCCTCTAAGTTGTACCCACATGATGAAAGTCAGATACTCGCCTTTACAAGAAAGATTACTGAGCAGCAGGTAGCAAGCCAAACATTTAGGAGTCTTTGTGACTACTCCAAAACTTTGATAAAGATACCCTATATACACACACATGGACATGTCTGAGATGATTTTGTGAAAGAAAATGGTAAGATGAGTAAATATCCTTGGTTGGAGGTTGGCGAGAGAAAAGAAAAGGGAGGTTGAACTTTAAAAAGCATTTAGGTGTGATGGCATATAAAATTCTTTATGCATATATTTTTAAAAAAGAAATGTATTTGGTTCTTCTCAAAGCAGGGCATGAATCAATGCCACTCGAGTTTTCACCCAGATCAAAGTCTCCAGAACTCCCTGTCCTCTCAAATATATTTAGAGGAAATCACTTTTAACAGTTTAACTTGTACTTATGTATAATTGTATATACCTTTTTTCTTCTAGTAGCTCGATTTTCCGCAGTATGGGTACACTTTAGTCCTTCCCTCTCTTACTACTGGTTAGTTTCCCAGATTTCTCAATTACCAACTGCTACATTGAATTTCTGCTTGCCTCTTTGTATTCATGTTGGAATTATTTCTATGAGAGAGCTTCCTAGAAGTGGAATTGCTGGGTTAAAGAATGAGCACCTTTAAAATTGTTACATTGCTAAACTGCCCTACAAAATGGCCATACCAATTTATTTTCTCACTACATGGTATGAAAGCTATTTTCGCTATATTGACCCAAACTCAATGTTACTAATCTATGTTCATGTGTCACTTTAATTATTTTCTCAATATTTACCCTACTTTTTAACCATATAAAGTTATACAACATTTTCATATCTGAAAGGGCAAGCCTACTCACAGTTCAATTGGTAGTCTCAATCATTTGTTTTCCATATGAAGCAACTTGTTAAAGTACATAGAAAAACCGTTGAGGAAAAAGATGTATGTAAACGGCTTCCAAAAATATTGGTTTTGTTTCATTAAGGTATCCTAGAGTGCTCATTTTATTTTCAATGGCATGTACATTACATATGATGGACACATGTATTTTACTAGTTAAAAGAAGTTGGTGAATTAGATGAGAACACAGAAACTGAGGCCCAAGGCAGTCAATGGAAGATTGTCAAGGAATAAGGGCAAAAACTACAGGAGTCTAGAAACAGTGACTCCTTTTTTTTTTTTTTAAATGATTGACAGCTAATAAAGAAGTCAATCGGGACGGTTTTTGAATAGATTGACTAGAGGCATCAAAGAAAAATGCTCATTGTCGATAGAATCTGTAGAAAATTTTTGAGTTTAGTTGTGAAGCACACATAACAGCCTATCTCAAGGTCTTATTGCAGCTCTACTTTAGTTAAGCCAGGCTGGCACTAGTTCACCTCATCAGAATTTCTCAACTCCACTTTTGATCAAAACAAGGCCTTTTTAAATATCACTAAGAGTGGAACAAAAAAACAAAACAAACTTTGTGCCTGCTGATGTGATGCACTGAGGACACAATATCTAGTATTTTTGCCAAAAAATATAACCTTAATCTAACAATAAGGAAACATGAAAAAGAAAAGGATTGTAAGAGAAAACTATCGTCTGAAAATAGTGAAACCTATTTGCACATTTTGAAGGTGGGGTAAATGGTTGGCAAGTAGTTTAATGTGGATAGTCTTTGAGTGGACTCAGTAAAGGTATCAGTTGTATACGATTTTCTAGAAAAACTTGAGAATGTAGCTGTGGAGCATATGACAAGCCATCTCTGTTATGTCTACCTGTGTACTTCTGTTAGTACCTCAAATTTAGTTAATAGATATTTATTTAATAGAATTTTTCACTAAAAACCTAGGAAAAACTTTATTTACAGCATTCCTGAGTCCTTCCGAAGCACTTATATAATCAGGCTTTAAGGAGTCTCGCCATACAATCACCCCCTTGAAAAGTGGTTGGATTATAATTGGAATTGCATTGAGTTTTTAGATTAATCCAGGAAGAACTGACCACATCTGTGCAATACTTGACTTTGCTATCCAAGAATGTACTGTCTCCATTTATTTAGTTGTATTCCTTTCTCTCTTTCTCCTTCTCTCCCTTGTCCTTTTCATGTTTATTCATAGATATTTCAATTAAAATATAGAAACCGTATTCTTTTATCAGAAATAAGTTTTCATTAATCTGAAGTAGAATGTAATGAGTTAAGATTTTTATAATCCCAAAGGCAACTAAGAAAAAAATCATTTAAAAAAACCTAATTTTAAATGGTATGAGAATTTAACACAAAATCATAAAGGAGGAAAAGAACAAAAAAAAGATGTAAGACAGGAAACAAATAGTAAAACGGAAGACAAATCCAGTCATATTAATAATTATACTAAATCTGAATGGACTAAATCTTCCAATCAAAAAGCAGAGATATTCCAACTTGATAAAGCCAAATTCAAAAGACTACATTTTATATTATTCTATTTATATTACATGTTCAGAAAAGGCAACTTTGTAGAGACATAAAGCAGACTGGTTCTCTAGGGCTAGAGACAGTAGTGATAATTGACAGCAACAGGCATAAGAGAACTTTCTGAAGTGATGGAGGAACAACTCATACATTTACTTAAAAAAATTTTTAATTATACTCACAATTTTATAGTTATGTAAATTTTAACCAATTAAATTTAAAAATTACAGTGCAATACCACTAATACACAAAGTCTCTAAAATGAAAATTCTGATTGTGGACAAAGAGAGCAATTGGAATCTGATACAATACTGGAAGATATGTAAATTGGTTAAATCACCTTGGCAATTCGAATTTAGGCACACTCAATAAACCAGCAATTCCAATCTTAGACACATACTCAATAGAAATGCACATATGTATGCGCCAAAAGTCGTGTACAAGAATTTTCATAGTAGCACTATTCATTATATGCCCAAGTAGTAAACAACCAAAATGTACATCAACGGATATAAAACTAAATTATGGTTTATTCATACAATGGAACTATACTCACAACATGGATAAATCTTACAATAATTTCATTTATATTTAAATCAGAATAGTTACCCTTGGGAAAAATGCAGTGGTAGCTTCTGGAGGGCTGGTAATGTTTCTTGTTCTCTGGGTGCTGACCAAATGATGTGTCTCCTTTGCATTGTTCAATTAATTTTTCACGCCTTTTTTTTTTTTAATTCTCCCCCCACCCCCACTTCCACCCCTGATTTAGGGATGTTGCTGTCTCTCCTTAAGAACTGGATCTCTGAAGGTGGGGCTTCTCCTCCCATGTGCTTGTGGTGCACATCTGGGGCTTGGCATACCCAGGGGGCCTGGTGCACCCCGGGTATGGGCCATGGCTCTGCTGGGGCTCAAACCCAGGACCTTCTACGTGTAAAGCAGACATGCTAACCACTACTCTATGGAACCACATCCCAAATTTTTCACACTTCGGATGTGCATTTATTTTTTATGAACATTATGCATCAATAAAATATTTACTAAAATAGAAAAAATGGAGTTATGGAAGACTACTTGAAGGTAATATAGGCAATAAGGTTTTTTGAATAATTATTCTAATGCTTATGCTCCAAACATCCTACTTAGGAGCGTGGCATAGGGCATGGTATGTGATATAAGCTCTAATAAATAAATATATAGCTAACATTACCCCAAATTCTGAAAGGCAGAATGACAGTGCAACCATTTTTTTTTTTTTTTAGATATATTGAAAGGTTATGAAGGTAGTAAAAATACTGTATTGGCACATAGATGAAAAGGAAGATGGAAAACCCCTATTAGATATCGTATTAGTTTGCTAGAGCAGCCATAACAAAATAACAGACCGGGTTAAACAAGATATTTATTTTCTCAAAGTTCTGGAGACTAGAAGTCCAAAATCAAGGTGTTAGCAGGTTTGGTTTCTTCTGTGGCCTCCCACCCCAGATTGCAGATGGCTATCTTCTTGCTGTATCCTCACATGGTCTTTCCTCTGTGCTCACACCTGTGTCCATTATTTCTTCTTATAAAGACACCAGTCATTGGAAAAAGGCCCACCCATATGGCCTCATTATACCTTAATATTACTCTTTAAAGGCCCTATTTCCAAATACAGTCACATTCTGAGGTAATCGGGGTTAGGATTTCAACATGTTGATGTGTATAAATGATGGAAGCAATGCAAAATCATTTATTAATTTAATTTTGGATAATTTGGAGAAAATTGGAGTAAATTTTAAGCATAACCCTCCTTCCAGCAAATAATTGTCCAAAATGTTCATGGTTTTGGAGAAATCCCAGTAGGAAAAACCTGTAGGAATATTTATCAAATTTCTAAAGAATGAGAAAAAGTAGGAGTTCCTAAAATTTAAAAGGGGTAAGGATGAGGAGAAATCACACAGAAAACAGTAGTTGGTTTAACTACATAGAGTAAAAACTTCTCATGTGCAAAAAATTTGAGAAACAAAGGGGTGAAAAAATAATAATAAACCATTATTTGTTACAAAAGCTTATACAGATAATAAAAGTTCTTATATTCAGGGTTGAAAGAAGTAATTAGGAATAAAGAAAAATGTAAAAGCATTTTACAAAAATGTGAAGCAAAGTAGGAACATGATCAATATCAATTGTGTAATCATATTAAGAGATTTGTGTATGAATGTGTGTTTAAAACACTTGCAAATGGCTACAATCCATTACCGCTCAGGGGTGAAGAAACTGCATGGGTTAAATCAACTCCACCTTTGTGTCTGAAGCCACCCAGTTCTTGGCAACCTCTCCCCACAAGAATCCTGCTTCCTGAAAGTGGAGGCAGCAAGGGCTTGGGGCTGTTTTGCACAAATTGGTAATGGAAAAACAACCCAGCACGTGCAGGACACCTGTGCAGACCCCAGGGGAAAAGCAGACAGCTGACTTGGAGGTCAGATGCTTTCCTGGGCTAAGCTGCCCAGTACTCCGACTCTTTGGCGAATCACAGCACCAGCACAATGAATGCTGATCACCTCATTTCATACTGGAATATCCACACATGTGCATGAAGGGAAGGTTCCACTCTAAGAAAACCCACCCTCGGTGCTACTCAAGGACCAAACCAGAAGCTTCAAAATGAGAGCCTCAAAGAATCATTAACCTTACCCATGAGCTTGTTAGAAATGCAAAATAATGGGCCCAATGTACTGAACTAGAATCACTTAAGGAGCCTAGGAAATTGTTTTAGCAAGTTCTCAAGGTGATTTGTTCCACACGTTAAAGTTTGAGAACAAAATGATGCCTGATTCTGACCCTAAAATCATAAAAGGGTTAGTAGTTTCAAAGTGGTAGAAATTAAGAAACAAAAATAGAACCACTACAAATCAGGCCTTTTACCCACGTCGCACAGCAAGACAAGAATAAACAATCTTTTGTAAATTTGCTTAATTTTAAGTGAGAAAAGATCTTTATGCCATTGGACAAAAAGGAAATTCATTTCTTTACTAGAACAGCACTATAAACTCACGTTTGCATCAAAATAATCAAACCACTACCTATCACGACAAAGGAAAAAAGAATGCAGAGATTTAAGGATTCTTTCTTCTCTCGAACTTTAGTAGTAGAAGCAGGACTGTTCTCATAACGTTCCTGACAATACTTGTGCAACAGCATGCTGGGGAGTCTGGAGACCTGCGGCACGGGCCTTCAAGAACTCCTCAAGTTGTTTCATCTTCTCAGCTGGATAAGGAAAAATGCAAAAATGCTTGCTGTTTCAAATTACTCTGTCATTGGGGGATGGGAAAGGTGCTGGCAACATCATTTCTCAGAGTGGAAGCTCTGAATTTGGGATCTGGAAATAGTAGGTAACCAAACTGAAGCTGGCATGGGAAGTGACAGGCCTGAATGCATCAGACCCCAGTTTATTCTCCCAAGGTCCTACTTTGACTCCTCTCACAAAGGGATGCCCAGGGACTGTGTGCGGCATACTGGAGTTAGGAAACTGCAAAAACTACTGGGGAGATGAGAGAGGATAAAAGGATGTCAAATACGGCCAGGTGGTTCACCTGTGGCTCCCTACACATGCAGGTTGTCAAAGACCTTCACCTCGGGCACGATATTGCCGGTGCCTTGATGCCAGGCTCAGAAGCACGCTCTTCACTCGATTTTGTACACGCGGCTGGCCGAAAATGGTGATTTCAACGAAGTTTCCAGAGTTTACTTTGTCCACCATCAACAAGACCTGATTCATCCACTCCATTTCCGGAATTATGGCTCGGTCTGGGCCTAAACACGAAGAGAGACACTCAGAGAGGCAGCATGGTCGAAGGTCTGGAGGAGCTAGAGTCGAAGGGAATGTCAACTGAGGAAGGGAAGAGCTAGAAGCTGGCATCACGGCGCCAAAAGTGGCCTCTGAATCTGGGAAAGCCTGTAGAGAGCTGCTCTGTCGGGCCTTTCTCGGACTGGAGGGGGCTGGGCCACCCGCGCCCCCAGGCTCGCTTACCAAAGATCGAGTCTGCCAACCATGCCTCCAAGTAAAACACCAATGGGTCTCTCAGTTCCTGCACAGGAAACCACCACGGCCGGGTGCGAAGCCGTGGCGGTGGAAGTGGTAGCCTCAACAGCCCATCCCGGGACTCGGCGGGCGTGCATCCATGCCCCTGGCCCACATCATCTGCGTGGTCCGCCATGCTAAGAGGCCAAGAGAGAGGCCCACGCAGCTCTGACGAAACTCCAGCGAGCAGCGAAGCCCGAGCCCCCTTTTACGGTTTCCGGCCAGCCCCGCCCCTTCCTGCGGCATCCGGTGGCCCTTTGGGGCAAGCTGCCCCATTTGACAGCGGGCACTCAAGCCTGGCGGCGTCACGAGCTACTTGCTGTTGTGCGTCTAGCCGCAGGATTTCCTCTTCGACCTTGAATTAGTGTTTATTTGAGCTCCAACTGGATCTCAGAGGCTCTCTGTGGTCTTCTCCGCTGAATAAGGTATCAGTCTCAAAGCCCGTTCCCTGTACAAAGCTAACAGCGTGGTTTGAATTGGCGACTTTGTTAACTGGGAAAGAATCACTTTCAGTGCCTAGGTTAAGGTTTCTATGTTACCTACCTTTCAGAGGTAGGTAGGTAAATCAGGCCGAAGGCAGACTTATCGAATCTACATTTTTCTCTCTTCTACTTCCTGTTATGTTCTGCCTCTGGTTTGTTACCATTTCTAAATCATTCAAGAATGTTTTCAATTTAAAATATAAACGTCAAAGGTGTTCATTACAGAAAACGTTGCAAGTATAGACAAACCTCGTCTGTTTCCAGTGTCCTAAAACACCTAATGTTGATAGACGTTTCTTACCAATGTTCTTAGTTTTAGTTAAAATTTTAAATTATGAAAGATTTCACACATTCAAAAAAAGTTATAGAAAACTCCTGTACAACCCCCACACACCATCCCCAATTAACAAGATGTTAAGATTTCCCCACATTTGCCTCACTTCTCTCTTCTTTAAAATAGGTATCACTGAAACATCTTTCCTTTCCCTCTCCACAGGAAATCATTGTCCTGAAGCTGGTGTATATCATCCCATACACGTTCTTATACTTTTTCTAGTATATTTCTAGAAATATTATATGGTAGTTGTTTTATATTAGATAGCATCTGCTGTACAAACAATTTTGTTCTTACAACTAGCTATAATGTGTTTCTTTAAAAAATCTTTTTAATGGAAAATGTTTATCATTTACATAAGGGGGATAGTATTAATATACTGAATTCCCTCATCCACATCATCTAGGCTTCAACAGTTATCCATAGATAATCTCTTGAGACATGTTAAATTAAACTTTAGTGGATATTTTTGTTTCTTCAATTTAATATTAAAATTCAACATAATAATACATGTACATTGTAAAAAAAAGTCTTGAAGATATAAATATGTGAAAGTTCTCATGAAGTTGAGTTAAAAAAAAGTTTTTCTAGATCATTTATGCAAAATTACAAGAAATGACTTTTTGCAGTTAGGGATGCCTAGAGAAGGAGACCATGAAGAGCTCAGCTTACCTGAGAGAGAGAGAGAGAGAGAGAGAGAGAGAGAGAGAGTGAGAGAGTTAGAGTTGCCAGGTGTCTGAGTAGCCAATCAAAGCAACAAGCCAAAAAGGAAAGAGTCTCCAGCTCCCTTCGCCTTGTACCATGGGCCGGAATGCATTCACGGTGGTCTGGCAACATGATTGTTTTCACAGAGCCAGTCTCAAGGGCTTTCTTGGTCTCCTCAGGTCAGAGCAGACCAGCACAGGGAAGAAGAGCAACCAGATTAGAATTAGAAGTATGTAGTTGGACATTTAAAATAGGCACATGACTGCCACATCCCACACCCCTCATGCTGGCAGGACCCTAACTCTTCCCACTTTAGGAACTTGGTCGTCTGTCCATGTTCTGGATGCGTTGACACTAAGGGATTCTCCCGGAGATTAAGAGGCTCAGGAGTAGGGGCTAAGGGCTCTCCGGAAGGAACAAGAAGGGGATGAACAGATCTGCCCTGGCATTCAAACATATTTGCACAGAGACCTGGTCCCGGGCCCCAAGATCGTCACTTCAGGCCTGGCGGTGTCGACTCCCGAGCCCCAAAACTCTCGACCAACACTTGGAAGACTCGTTCTATCCGTCCCCTGAGCAGCATCGATCCGTAGATTGTCATCTCCATGATGTCTTTGAAGCACGAGTCTACTTGGAACAGAGTGTTGAACTGACACTCTATTTTGGTGAGGCAGACCCCACCCTGGCCTGTGCGGGGGCGGAAAGAAGATGCTCAGGTCCAGAGAGCTCAGGTCCACGAGGCCAGGAAGAAGGTGCCATTGTCGCTTATAGGAGGTCCCAGTGGCGCCAGTAGCAGCGAGAGGATGCAGTTAGGAGGGAGCAGGGGGCCAACACAGCACCAGAGTGGGCCCGCCACGGGTCACTCGGGTCCACGTTTTCTCATCAAATGCAGCATCTACCAGTTCAGCCTTGACGTGGACCAAGGCCGGATTCTTAAAATATTTCGGCTCTACAGAGCTCAATTTGCTCTGGCCCCTTTCTCATTTTGATCTCTGGCCAGTGTCAGGACCAGCGCACAAACCCTGCGGCCCAGAGAAGCAACCTAAGACCGTAGGACAAGTGAGCTGCTAACCTCAGCCGACTTCGGCTTAGGGAATCGCGGCATCTCGGCTTCCAAGTTCTGCGGAATACTCTCTCCATCCTACCCCCAGGCCTGTGGAAGGGTTGTGTGTCCCTCTGAGTCCGTGAAAGATTTCCCAGCGCCTTGGCTGCCAAAGTTTGGGGGGCGGAGAAGTGAGAACTTGGTGGGTCTTCCAGCCGCCCCAGGAGGTAAGCTCTGCCTTTCCGGGATGTGATTCTGGTCTTTGACTGCTTAGTGGGAGGTTCCCCTTGGCAGAACCGCAATCCACTCTGGAAAAAAACTGCCTAAGGATGAAGTGGCCATACCAGGCGCTTGCAGCTTGTTTGTGAGGGAGACTAACTGCCATGCGCCTCCAACAAGTGAGTCATTTGTGTGGGGCTTTATCTCTAAGGATCCCCATAAAGTAACTGGATGCTACCGTATCCACACCAAGAAACTGAACCTGGGAGAACTGAACAACTGAACAACTCACACGAAAAATTCATAAGAAGTATGTAAATACTGGGTAAAATAGAAATATTTGCCTACAGCAGCATAATTAAATCTCTTGATCGGGTTAAGGTTTTAAATGTTTATTGCTTCAGAGACATAGCCAAATCTTGCTTTCCTGAAGGTGTGTCCTACACAATGATATTTGTGTTTTTTCAGAAACCTTTATTTGAAGATGAGAAGGGGGTGTTCTGGGGACAGAGTCACCCATTCCCAGGTGACTTTCAGGACTCTGCAATATGCTTTCCCCTATTTGAGGACTTTTCCTACCTCATGTTTAATTCTCTTGTCCAATGTTCACTTTATTTTACTTTTCCTTAACTATCAACTCTTAATGTGATACAAAATTTCAAGCATTTAAAACTTCACTTAAGAAATTATTTATGGCCTGTTTTACTTGTCCTGGAGGTAGGGAGGATTGCTTTTTTTCTAAAGATATGTTTACTTCATGGTTCTTTTATTTCCATTTTTAAAGACTTAAAGCATTTAACACAAGACTCTAGAGTGCAAGTTTGACATGTATAATTAACCATACATATAAAAATACAACTTAAATATTATCAAAACTCTAACTTTTATACTCAAAGTATTCATCAAGTATGAAAGAAGATTAAAAATACTAAATATGAAAGACTTCAAGAAAATGGCAGATTAAAACACACAGTATCCATCAGGCACCCTGCAAAAATCTATAAATTCCTGAACAACACCCAAAGAATCTAAGCACCAGGAGGAAAAACAGACCTAAGGTTTAATTTGTTTGAGAAAAGGGGTTGTTGAGAGAACTGAAGGTACTTTCCTGAACTCACCCATCTCTTTAAAGGCAGGAACTAGTGCTCCCCGCCTTGAAATTACCTTTTTCTAACCCTGCATTCACATGTTTTCCTATTTAACCCAAAGTGGGGGCAGGGGGGTGGGGCGGGGGTGTCTCCAGAGTACTTTAGATCTGGGAAGAGAAAATAGTGGTGTAGCTGAATTGTGATTCTTTTAACCTCACCTCCACTGCCTTTTCAAGTGTGGAAATTGGCTGTTAGTGGGCCATCTTCCTGTGTCCTTGTCTCTTCTCTCATCTTTCCAAGTGAAGGATGAAGATTTTGAGATCTCAGATTTTGAGAAGCTGGATCCTTGTGGACCATCAGAGATGTGAAAGAATCTTGCTTTCATTCTCCAATTTGAACCATTTCATCTGACAGTCTTTATATTCTGTGTTATGAGGGTGTGGGGTATTTCCTCATAAATTATTTTTGATTAATTAACTTTGATCTCCAGGAAACATTTGTTATATTTGTGCTTTAAATTTCATGTTGCTTGCTTCTAATTCATGCTTACAAAACAATACTTTTACTTATATCGATCATGTCCCTTTATTACCCTTCCAGAGTAGAAGCCTGTAACTTGGCTATTTTCTTACTGTTTTTCTGCTCACTTTATTCTTTTGAAATCTTTTTTTTTTTTAATTACTTTCTTTTAATAGAAAAAAATTTCCTAGCGTTTCTCTTTAGTCTTGATCTCAGTAGTGACCTGGTATTTCATTCTCCTTTCTTTACACCCTCCTTTACCCCTTTCCCAGATCTGCGGCAGAAGCGGACTTGGGTCAGAGCCACCCTCCTCTGCCGATCTCCCCCAACTGCGCTGTAGGTCGCCCAAACTCCCTTCTTGGATCTACGTTCTTCTCTCACACAGGCCTCAACCTTGAGTAGGTACGAATAATCGAGAAAGTCACTGGGACTCGGCTCAGACTGGACATAAACTCCCTCTTGGAGCCGGTTGAAGTTATGGTCCAAAGATTGAGGATGCGCAGGAACAGGGCGGGATGGGTGATCCATGCCCTGGCCAGGTAGTGCGCCCCAAGAATGCGGGCAGAGCTCCTGGAGTTTGGCTTCCTTCCCACCCCAGGCTAGGTCCTGGGTCTAACTGAGATAAATGATTGGGTCAGGGCCGACCTATCCATTAGACGCAGTAGACACAGTGTGTGGAAACCACAAAAATACTTTTAATTAAAAATATTTTTAACCAGAAAAGAAGCATTACATAACGAATCTAGT